ACTAATTTGATCTTTCCACTAGTTGTTTGAAAGCTTGCCTCCTAGGAATTTTCATACAACTAAACGCAACCTGGGCCCAATTGAGGAAATTGAAACACGACAGAAGCAAAGCAAAATCGTATCAGAAATAGAACACAAATATGGGCTTGAAACAAATATAGCACGAAAATTCCGAAATTTCAGTGTGTATTTAGATCTAACTGACACAATTTTTGTTTCATCGAAAATGCTTGGTGCGGGCACTGTGGATGTTAATGGAGTTGTTGTTGTTGACGATGGTGATGACCAAGGAAAAGACAAAATGATGGAGGAAATTACGAACAGCGATTATAACTCCGTATGTATGCTCGAACCTGAAATACTAAGCCGAGGTGGGCAGGTAGAAACTGTGTTGGGGCCATGGACAACTCATATAGTGATCGGATCGGCGGAAGTTGATTATCCAATCAGGACAGTGAAGCAGCAGCAGGAACGGGAGCAACTCTTCTTGAAACTGCTACTATTTTACCCACAGCGGCATTTGCGGCGTCCAAATATTGTTTCTACTTTATGGGTGAAGTCTGAGTTTGAAAACTGAATGATTATTCATTGCATCATTTTTGAATCAAAAAGAAAATGCCTGAAACGACGCCACTTTTAGCTGGAAACGCGGCAAATCCAACAAGCACCGCTCATAACAGCCCATTCAGCAGATTTAATCTGAAAACACGTAATCGCAAGGTTGCTGTTGCTACAGTTGGTGTCCTGGTTGTATTTGCACTTGGCTGGCATCTGTTTTCAGGAAGGAACTTTGCTCCGGCTGATCTCGCTTCGGAAATCACGAGCAAAAATCTACTGGGCCACCTCACCGCATTCTCTGATTTGGCTGCGAAAAATAACGGGACTCGCAGCGTTCCGGGTCCTTACCTTGCTTCTGTTGAGTATGTTTACGACCAATTATCGGAAAAGACGGATTACATTGTGACCAAGCAGCAATTTATATTCCCATTGTTTGTTATTCATTCCAATTCTACTTTGAATATTAGCGGCTCCAGCCCGCTTTTTTTTGGTAATTTTTTTTTATCCCACTCAAATTATCCAATAAAAAGACCTCATTTTACTTCCGTTGAAAGGCCGCGACTTTATACCTTTTGGAAAATCAGGTGCCGGATCAGCCTCAGGAACGCTCCAAACCATTTCCGTCGGATGCAGCGCTTCAGATTTTACCCATTTCAAGCATGGCAATATCGCCCTTGTTCCAAGAGAGCCAGCTGTTGGCGGAAATCCGGAGCCATGCATTTACAGACAAAAAATTGCTAATGCTGTCAAGGCTGGAGCGTCTGCAGTGCTTCTGTATTCGAACCTCCCAAGCGAAAGCCCTGTTGCTGGAGGATTTCCAGTCGATACCAAAAAGAGACCGACATACGGTTTGACTCAAACTTTGGCATTGTCGTTGCTGCAAAAGCTTGCACTTGGTGTTGAGGTTTATGTTAGTTTGACAAGCAATGTGGCATATGTTGATGTTGTCACATTTAACGTTTTGGCTGAAACAAAAGCTGGAGATGAAAACAATGTTATTTTAGCTGGAAGTCATTTGGACAGTGGTTTGCTTTGCTTTTTTTTTTTGTTGATCTTATGTGTGTAGGTAACTTTTTTCTCTTTACGTTCAGTCCCAGCTGGTCCTGGAATTAACGACGATTCTTCAGGTAGCTCTGCTACTCTTGAAGTGGCTCTTTCTTTGTACAGAACTGGTCTGTCAAGGAGTGTTGTTAACAAAGTCCGATTTGCTTTCTGGAGTGCTGAGGTGACTAAGAAATTATTCTTCACTGATTTATTTATGTTTCTATTCTGTGACAGGAACTTGGTCTGATTGGATCAAACCACTATGTCGATGACTTGGCAGAAAATAATCCATCAGAACTAAAGAAAATTGCCTTAAACTTAAATAACGATATGATTGCTTCTCCAAATGGTGCTCGTTTCATCTACGATGGTCGGAACGCAGTTGACCCAAAATTACGCGGACCATCGGGAGTTATTCAATCGGTCTTCCAAGCTTACTTTGATGCAAAAAAGCTTCCGCATGAGCCAACGGAATTTGATGGCCGTAGTGACTATGGTGGTTTCCTCAAATATGGTATTCCTGCTGGTGGTCTTTTTACTGGCGGTTTGTGCTTTTTTTTTTTTCTTGATATTTTTTTCTTCAATTATTAAATTACAGTGAAACTGTTTAGCTGAGCAAATCAAGAGTATTGAGCAGGCGCAAATCTATGGAGGTACTGCAGGAGTTGCGTTTGATCCATGCTATCATCTTGCTTGCGACACTCTGGACCACGTTACAAAAGGAGAAAAGGGTCTTGGATTCGACTTGTTTGTTGAATTGGCAGGATCAATGGGTCATATTGTTCACAAATTGGCGTTTGTGAATGATTTGCGTGGATTCCTTAATGGAAACTGATTTTTTTTTTCTGTTTCTCGGTGAATGAGTGAAATCTAAAAGACTCTCAGAGTATCTTTATTTTCTTATTGTCAAGGTCCAGCACTTCCTCCGCCACTTGTGCTCATTGTTGCAAGTGCATTAATCATGGTGTTTGTCAAGCCATAGAAACTTTTGAAATAACCTAAATAGTTGTCGACAGCTGCAATATTTCCGACAGGATATCTTGGAAAAAAAAGTTACAAAAAACGTAGAAAACTTGAAAGAAAAAGGAAACCAACCGCAAAGTTCCAGAATAATTTCCAATTGCATTTCCTTCAATATTTCCCATTCGCAAAATGGCTTCATGTTCATCCGGAACGTTTGTTTCAACGATATTAAGGATAGTGTAGAGTGTTCCTTGTTTAAATTTTTGTTCAAATCGTACGGTGCGGACAACTTTGGTTCCATTTAATACCAAATATTCGGGATCCCTTTTCTCGATTTTTGCTGTAAAATAAAAATAAGAAAGAAAAAAGGAGATTAAAAAACATACGTTTAACTCGACGAACATCAAGGCCAAGCACAAGCTCTGTATCGAAACTATGTTTTCGTTTTCGAAACTCTTCTATAAATTGCAATCGAGTGAACCGCGGCTGAAAAGATTTAACAGATGCCGATGTATCAGTAAATCCAATTATTGAATTGCTGTGGTTGGTATTACTGCTATCGTTGCCATTGCCGACGGAAGAATTTTGTAAACTTAACCCTGTTGCTAATACTGTTTGCGCTGTTACAGAAGAGTTGTTACTGGATGGTATCGTTGAAAATGGATTGAGTATATCGACAGCAGCTGCGCTTGAAGATATGGCATCGCGTGCGAGTCCGTGTGCGCCACCAGAAGTGGGGCATGTATAGTCATTAACAAGCATAAGTTTGTGTATGCGACTGTTGTTAGTGTGACTTGCATTTGCCGTGCAGGAGTTTTCAGCAGTCAGAATCTCGCTGTCGGATGCATGTTCTGGGTCTGCGGCACGTGGCGAAGGCGGAAGTCTATGAGATTCGTTGCTGTGGTTGGTGCGTGGCTGGAGTGACTCACTTTCGCGTTCATTTTCACGTTCTGTATATACGTGTTCGTGTTGATGTTGCCGTTCAAGTTCAAGTTCGAGTTCGTAAGCATGTATGGTTGCGGCAAGTGCCCGAGGCGGCACGCGGTATTTCGAACGGTTGTATTCGGTAAGAGTTTCGCGCACGGCAACTGCTGGGCTAGGGTCGAGACAGAGTGGCTCTGTGGCAGCCTTACAATTGGTTTCGGTATAATTGAGAATTGAGTTTGAAGTTTCAACTTGGTCTGCTCACCAAAATGCGAGCTTCAATTTCAGCCGCGGCAACAAGAACACGTGGCGGCTGACCCAGGTAACCCGCAGGCAGATAATCCGGATCGAAGTCTTTAATGTCGGAATTTGGATCGACGCTAAAGTTGGTATCTTTGAGCTCTGAATCGTTGTTCCCATTGCCGTCGATGTTAATACTGGAGCTTTTTGTGGAATTGCTATGTTTGTCAATACTTTGTTTGTCGTTACTGTTATTGCATAGTTGACGCACAATTGCTGCGCACACGGCGTCCTGAGACGGCATCAGTCCAAAAGCGACGATCGACGGACGCAGTGGGTAGCGGGCTTGTGTTTGTGTTAATCCGGCAATGCCTGGGTGGGTGTGAGAGTGGGTATGTTGGTTGACCTGGTTTAGCACACGGTAGTCGTGAATGGAAATCTCAGCACGCCCTTCTACATAATCACTGGCCGTAAACAGTTCCGCGTTGATTGCCGTGACATTTTGCTTGTCCAACGCCGCCACAAGGCCCTATAAGTTTCAGTAAGAAATCGAGAACCAAAAGCAAAGAAAGGTTGGCCTTACGGCAAGTGATGCGTTGTGCTGGTAATGACGCGTCCTAGAATTTTCGTTGCTGCCATCGCCCTTGTCACTATCTGTACTTCCGATGCCGTTTCTGTTGCCGTTGCTTTCAACAAAGCGCAGAAACGTTGGAAACGCTTCAATTTTCATGACAAATCGAAGATATTTGTTTTGCTTGTGCTGCAGAACAAGCTTGTTTCCTAGCGAAACTTGAATTTACTTGACTTGTTTGCTTTGCTGTGTCTGGATTTGCTGAAACTTGTCTATTTCATTTTGAAGGGTCATTGAACATTTGAATTGTGCCTTCTGCCATTGTTCCATATGACCTTCTTTCTTGTTTTGCTTTTCCAAATAGTCTTTTCCTTTGTGTGAAAGTGCAAGATTTACTTGTGTTTCATTATCAACAACTAGAGATTCAGCAGCATTCACAGCTATAGCAGAGGAGCTGCAAAGAATCTGATTAATTGAAAATAGAGACTCCACATCATCTTGACTAATTGCTTGTTCCACAATTACTGGCCAATTTGTTGACTTCGCATTTCCTGCTTGTTTTAATACTTGTTGTTTCAGCAAGAATCATGCTTCCAATGAACAAATTATGTTAACAACTTGTTGGTAAAGAATTTTTGAGGTATGGTGAAATACTCTTTGCCTCTGTTGAGATAATCAAGTTGACATCACACTCAGCACTGGGGGCTTTTGGTTTAGTGGTTATACTTTATCACGTTATCAGCACCATTGCTCTGAAGGTCGTGGGTTCAATTCCCAGTCAGACCACCAAACCCCATGTGCCTGAAAAACCTATAGTGTTAAGGCCAGGACAATTCAAGGCAATATGTTAGACAGTCACTGAGTTTGTGATGTCGCCTTGATGGGGGAGTGTTGAGATAATCAAGTTGACATCACACTCAGCACCGGGGGCTTTTGGTTTAGTGGTTATACTTTATCAGCCTCAACACTGCCTTCTTGTTTTTTGTGAGCATCTATCTGAATATGGCAAGCTTGGCAGATTTTCAGATGGAAGATTTGAATACAAATCCTTCATTGCCTGTATTTTATATATATATCTGGTAGAATACAATAAGAAAAAGGAAAAAAAAAAGAAACATTGCTTACCAACTTTTTCAAATAGTCTAAAAATTTTTGGCAGCATGAGTCTGTTTTTTTCAAGCCAGCCTGCACAGTCTCAGTAGTAAATTCCTTTGCCATTGTGATATTTTGAGTATTTTGTGAATACCAATTCAAGTCAAAGTAAGGTCTTCTTTAGTTTTGGCCCATTCCTCCCAAGCCTTCATTTGAAGCTCGCTGCCAAAGTCATAAGTTAAAATTGCAACAACAAGACACTTCTATGCATGAGTCCAATTATATATAAAACAAAGATCCAATGATTCATTGAATGGATTCTTCTCAGGGCAATAAAAGTGATTGATGAAATCTACACCTTCATTGAGATGTTTTGCCAAACTAAAAATGAAAGCAAAATATGAACTCCATTGGTGAAGTTCTGGCACAGATGGTGATAATAATGCAAGAAAAATGCCACAGAAATCACTTAATCAGTCCAAAGAACAGTATTAGTTGGATTAATGAAAATCAAGGTAGAAAAATCTCAGTGTGCAACATTAGCAGAAAAAATATTTGAGAATTCAATGTGTGATTTTTCAGAGACAACTTGTGAGATAATTGAAGAAACATGGGATTTCCAAGTGGTAAATAAAACTGAAACACAATTTTGTTTAAGAGTTTCCTGAACAGATGATACTAAGTGGGTGCAGTTAACCAATGATTTAGATGCATAATATTTTTCAGTGAAACAGTGGCAACAAACTCTTTAAATTTTGTTTTTAGATCTGAATGCATTATTGCTTTCTTATTAGCACTTGAGTATGATTGATAATGCTGTGTGACAAAATTTGCAGAGTTACAGTAAACTTGTAATGCATTAGTAGCCTGTTTCCAGCCACAATTGATGAAAGCAGATATGCAAAAACCATCTTGAGCAATCCAGCTTAAATACAAGTTATTCTCTGCCAACTTCTCTATTTTTAGCATGTAAATTTCATGAACAATGGAATCAGGTGTAGTATTGATCATATAATACTGTAAAATGTTAGTTTGCATCAAATGGAGAGAATCAGGAACACTCATTTCCTCCAGAAGATCATCTGTGTCTTTGAGAAGCTTGATCAAATCAGTGGAATTATCAAGGCACATGATCTCAGATTTCTTGAGTTCATCTTTCTTTGGAAATAAGTCATCTTCATCTCCATGCAGCATGCCAAGAAAGTGATTGGAATGCATCTTCAAAGTGCAGTATAAATTGCACAAGTAGTTGTATTTTTCAATATATGCTTGAAGAATTAATTGGAAGTTGTGCATTTCCATGAATATGGTGTGGCACTGAAAAAGTAATGATTTTTTTAGAAGTAGGTAAATTTTTTGTATAGAAGTTACCCTCATTTTTATCCATCTTCTTTGCTTATTTTTTCTTCATGGCAATCTGTTTCTTTTGTATAGCCACTTGCAAGACAGTTTAAATGATTGTGTAAACTGTCCATATACCCAAAAGATTTTGAAAGCCACTGGTAAATGATCAAGGGAAAACCATCGTAAAACATCAAAGAGGCTTTAGGTGATTTCAGATTATAAATAAGCTCATTTGTTTGTGTGAGACTGTTATTCAGCAATCCAACAAACTGTTTTTAGTTGTTATTGTAAAGAAGAGAAAATAAAAAATAAAATAAAAAGAAAAGTAAAAATAGCAAAATAACAAAAGGAAATAATAAAATAAAAGATAGTGAAGTAAATTACACTTGCCTCAACTTTTGAAAGTGTGATTTTTTCTATGAACCATTTATCATATTGCTTGTCCAAGCCACCATAATCCTGTAACATGGCATTTTCAAACCTTTCCATCAATTTTTCTAAGAACCAGTCAACAAACCACGTCTTTCTTACCAATGTCAGTGTCATCAGTGTGCATTCTAAGCAGTGGTTGTCAAGTTCTTCCTGTCCTCCCTCATTGCAGTTAGCAAGATCATTAAGCAAAGCTTGGTCATCAGCTCAAAGCTGAGTCATCAGCTCAAGGCTGATCCATCAGCAAAAGCTGGCCTCAGCTGAAGCTGGTAAGCAGTGAAGAGTCATTGACCCAAAAAAAAAGGAACAAATATAAAGTAAAGATATTGCAAGAGGAAAATTAAAGAAGATGTCATAGAATTGAAGTAAAATGCTGTATGTGGCTGAATAACAAGAGTAAGGTCCAGTAAGTTGTAGAAAATAGTAGAAGATTTTTGCTGGTAGCTGTAGTGGCTTGAGTCAAGTAATTCAATACTAGATATCTCAGAACTAAATGACAAGAGTTCAAGATAGTACTATGGAATTTGGTTGAAATAGGTAGTTTAATACTTAATGTGCACTTTGTTTTTATTTGATAAGACTAATTATAAATAAAAGAAAGGAATAGGGTTTAAGTAGTTTTTGAAGTGGAAAAAAAAAGAAATAAAAAGAATAAAAGATGTTTAGAAAGAAAAATGGCTGGAAAGCAATTGGAAATTGCTTTAATTGTTTTTGAGCTATTGAGGTGAATAGAAGGCTTGAGAAATTTCCAGAAAATTCTTTGAGAAAAATTAGATTAGCAATCTAATTTATACAAAAGATGGACTAAAAGCAGCAAATGAATTTTATGTGCTTACTGCAGTAAGATTTCTCATATAAAAATGCAAAATATCTTCCAAAAATATTATGGATAATTATGCAGATTTTTCTTTTTTTTTTAAAAATAACCAACTTTGAAGTTCTATTGTTTGAAGGGAAAAACAATTAAGTGAACATCAGTGAACATGTTTTTTTAAAGCTGATATTAATGCTTTGTTCATGGTTTTATTTTTGGTTGAAATTTTTTTCCAACCCTGTACACATGCCCAGGCATTCTCTTGGGCATGCATATGGGGGAGTTCAAGCAGGTTCAAATGCCTACTCAGTGCCACCATGGATTTCACTATTTATTGTGCTTTGGCATTGATCCCCCTTTTTTTTTGAAGGGGTATTCCCCCTGAGAGCTGCTGCTTGTCTTTTTAAATTATGAATGGTGTTACACAACAATAAAGACATCCCCAAATCAGCCATCAGTTTTGGTCTCTGACAGCAGGGCTATGCCATTTGCAACTCATTGGAAGCAATGCCC